TGTTGCTGGAATTGTTGCATTTGGGCTTGCATTGCCCGCATGCATTGCATCAGGTCGTCCAACTGGTTATGGCTGGTTGCCAGGGGGACAACAATTGGTTCAGTAAAGGTTGTTTCGATAGGGAGAGGAAATGGGATGCTCATGGTGGGAAGGTTTACGGGCGCCACTGCTTGTGGCGCATTCAAGCTGGGGATCCCATCCACCGAAAGGGGGATGGTGAACTGTTCGACGGTGGTGTTTGTCTCCGTGCCACATCTGGCATTGCTGGAAGAAGCCATGAGTGTTGGGGTTTTTGGAGAAAAGAGGTTATGAGAGTTTAGAGGGAGGCTTTTAGAAGCGATTTACCATAGACGGCGCCAATTGATGGTGCGCAATCCGGCTGGTCCTAGCTGTCAACGACCTTGCCTCTGAGCGGAGCTATAGGGGGCCTGAAATGGAGAAGATGAGGAAGCTCCGGGGGTAACCCGGTATGAATGCTCCGAAGCTCAAGTTAGAATTCTCTCAAAGGCAAGATAAAACCAGATGGCGCAAAGTTCACATACCTCGTTCTTGGGGGGTAGGGAGCCTTTTATAACCACCTCGTGCACTCACTTCTAAGCTTCTGTCAGGTCGGGTATGATTATCTCTGGGCCCCTGCCAGTTCGGGTGTCATCCCCTCTGTTGGACAGAACCGCCACTGCTCTCTTTGTCGGAGCCGTCTCTGCGACTGGCGATGACGGTGGCAGGTGGCGGTGGCAGGTGGCCGTTGATGTGCGGTTGTCAAGCGTTAGATCCCAAGTCAGTCAAGTGTGCCGCCCTTGGATATGGACCTCCTCAGTGTCAGGTATGGTACGTTTGTTCAGCTCGGTGTCCTGGAGGCGAAGTGCTGGAGTGGTGAGCGAGGTGAAGTCTTGAGTTCGGATAGGGGAGTGTCCCGAACTGCCATGAGGCGGGCCAGTTCGGGTCATTGCCTTGTGTGAGGCTCGGGGCCAAAGGGAGAGTTCGGGCTCCTTGTAGGGAGTTCGGGCTCCTAATAGGGAGTTCGGACTGCTAGTTTCTCCCTTCGGTGTTCACGCCTTGGGCGCGCGGTTGTGTCGAGCTGTTCGCCTTTGCCACATGTTTAGTGATTACGAGGTCGGGCCAAATATATTGCATGGGAAACAAGTGTTAATATTCTCAGTCTCTCCACCGGCTCATGATAAACAAGTGTCAATATTCTCTCTCCTCTCTCTGACCACTTCATCTCACTACTCCTCTCTCTCTCACCACTTCCTCTGAAAATCGGGATTTCCATGGCTTCTTCTTCAAGGTTTCTACTCCTGTCTCGTCTACACGATTTAGCGGTTAAATGAACTACTCGTAGAAAGTGTTGGACCCTGATAACCTGGGTTACATTGAGGCCGGTTAATGGTTTCTTCGATCAAGCAAGTAGATCTGAAATCTACAGAAATCTGCACAGTCTATTCGTAGCTTCTGGTTTGTGTTAACGATGTTTGTATGTGACTGTCTAACAGGTCTACAATTTGGAGATGCTGCTGCTGCAAGCGCCCAGCCAGTCGACGAATCTGGGGATGACCCAGAATCGCAACCTCAGCCAATTACTGAGCCAGAAGCTGGTTCTGACCAAAGAGCTCAACCCCATCAAGCGATAATACCGGAAGGCGGCCTACTTCCTAGAGTACAATTGGAAGCAAGTTTGGGCGCTGGCGCTCTGGGCTTCCATCTGCGTCGGCCTCTTCACATGGAAGTTCATCCAGTACCGACGTTTTCTTCATCATTCTGTTCGTTGGTGAACTTGGTAATTAAAGGAGGAAACTGGGGGCATTTCGGTAGTTTTAATTTTTGGCTTTTCTCTGTCAAGTACGGATGGAAGAGACAAAGTAGAGATGGAAGGGATCATGAATCTTATAGTGGTGATGATGTGTGTGTAAGGAGGACATTTGCATTGCTGGAATCTCTATAATCTTTTTTTTTTTTTCTTTCTTCTTTCTTTTTGGGTTTGAAGAAGGAGAAGAAGAGTGCGATATAAATGTGAACCAGGATTACTTTGACCACAAGTGGACCAGGATTGATGATTTGGCGGGCGGTGGGACATTACTTTGACCACAAGTGGACCAGGATGATGTTGACTACATCTCTTGATCCACAGAAGTTTCGTCATGGAGATAATATGGAGGCTGGGAATAGTTGGATGCTATAGTAATTTTGGTGCTTTTGGGGTCACGATGCTGGTGCTCATGATCATTGCGTACATATTAGCCCAGCCTTGGTTCAGAAGGAACAAACTCAGGCTTCCGAAACCCCTCAAGAAGCTTATTGGTTTCAATGCCTTCTGGTACTCCCACCACCTATTTGATGCGAGCGCTTGATTCGCGCCTTCAGGTCTGGCTATAAGACAGTGAAGATTTTGAAGGTTAGATCAAATCTCATAAAACCCAAGATTATATTATCAATTGCAAGATATTACAATGGAGATTCATTAATTCCTTGTGAATACTTGTATTCATTTTCAATTCCTCAGGTTGCTGTCTATCCAGGATATGTGCTGGCACTCCTCCATMTGTCTAAACCCCAAGGATTTGAGTACAGAAGTGGGCAATATATCGTTGTCAACTGTTCCGTTGTTTCTTCTTTGCAATGGTACACACATAATTGAGAGAAATTCTGTTTGGCTTCTGCCATATTAAAATTATGCAGCTGGTTGAAGTTGTTACTGATGATCATGCTTTGTTTATGCTATGTTCTTTCTTCAGGCATCCTTTCTCTATTACACAGCCCCCGGAGATGATTATCTGAGCATTCTTATTCGCACATTAGGTGACTGGACATCGCAGCTCAAAGCTGTATTTGCTCAGGTACATGATGCATGATCAATTCGATTGCAGATTAACTCCTCTCTCTCTCTGTGTGTGTGTGTGTGTTTTAGCAAGCAATTAATAATCTTTCATGTCTAAACACGTGCAAGTGTGTCAATCCCCAACCGAAGACTACTCCATGAGTGTTCTCTATGCTTTAATTTTCAGTTTTAACTCTGAAACTCACATGATGTCTGTTAATCAAGCAGGTTGTCGAGACTGTTGATCGATGGCCCCTATGGAGCCCCGGCACAGGACTACAAAGAATATGGTGTCCTGCTCCTTGTTGGGCTGGGGATCGGAGACACACCACTGATCAGTATAGCTAAAGACGTTTTGAACAACATCAAGCAACAAAACGACGTTGAGGAAGGTGCCGTAGAAGTTGGAACCAAGGCCAACAAGAAGAAACCTTTTGCCATGAAACGAGCCTACTTCTACTGGGTCACCCGTGAACAGGGCTCATTTGAGTGGTTCCGGGGAATACTGAATGAGGTTAACGCACGTTGCTGTTAACCACTGATACATATAAAATTTGTATTTCTTTTAGGAATTATATGTTTAAATACTTTGTAAGATTTATAAAATTTGTATTTCTTAATATATATTTTTCATAGATTAATTGGTTCATTACATTAGTGATCGAGATTCGGATTCCACAACTATAATTTCTATTGTTTTTTTATTCTCCCACTTACTCGGTATTACTCGCCTGTGCTGAGTACGGGCGCCCCTCGCTAGTTATTTCATTATTATCAAAATTTTCTATACTTTTGGTCCTAGCATAATTATCTAGTCCCATCTGATTGAGTTTTATTTGATTTGATAGGAGACGAGAACAAATAAAAAATAATAAAGAGACTTGAAATCTACAAAAGACATGGGACAAGCCCGACCCTACCCGAATCATGACCCGATCTTTGGGGAGGCAGGATGGATTATCCGATTTAGCCCGATCCATTGATAATTTAACATCCTATGACCAACCCTACCAAAACAGGTCCTGACCGCCCCCAGTTAAACTTCAGATGAATCCTTATTTTTATAAGTTAATAGTCTTATGATATTCTCTTCTCAAGCTAAGTAGCCCAGTGTGGTAAAACTCAGGCCGGACCCGGATGATTGAACTGGTGAGCCGGATAGTCGCCGGTTAAATGGTTTAAACCGTGGTCCAATGAGTTTTTCGGGTTTTAGATCCTGTCCGGTTCCGATAATACCAAGATTTTAGGTTGCTAGAATTAGAAGGTTCATGAAACTCACTTAAGCCTATAACTATGGGTGTAATTTGAGTTCGTCCCAGTTAACATTTACACTGTTTTAGGTTCGGGTCATCAGATCCGGGCATCCATTTGAATTTTAACAAACCCTAAAAAATTTTTCTGACCCCCACTTGTCTAAAAAGTTTATGCATGATGGACTTGTAGTGAGTTCACCTACGTTTGGTCTGTATAATGGATTTCGGGGCCCATGGACTTGAAAGATGTGGCGAAGGGCAGAGACCATGATCAAGGTGGGGCCCGTTATAGTTTTAAGTTTTTAACAGTAAAAAGGCAATAAGTCGAAATGCCAAATGTAGCCTAAAATTAAGATTAAGGGCTTAAGTGTTGGTTGAGCTGCTCGCGGAGTCTCCCAAGACCCGAATTTTCACCAAACATGGCTACATGGCTTGTAGGGTGTTTGGGTAGGGGCCTACCTCACCTCATAAAAGCCAGAGGTCGCTACATGACAGCCCTCCTAAACAGGCACTAATGTTGATGCTTCGATAAGAGATAATGGTAATTGTGCCATAGGATCATGTGTTTTGAGAGCCCATGAACAGGCAAAACATTATAGGAACAGGAATAAATAATTAGGTGAACATGATAAGTGTTTTATGGGCTGTGGGACCAATCATTCTGTCCCATACTTGAGCAAAACAATTGGTCCCACGGCCCATAATACACCTATCAAGTTCAACTAATCCGTATCGTTTTTGACAGCGTGAGGAGTATAGAACCCAGCCGCACATCTCACAATTAAAATTAAAGATGGCGATGTGTGGCTGCAATTCAAGAGAGTAAATCCTGTTTGAAGAGTGTAATGGAGTTGGTGATTTCTAGTGGTCATAATGTTACATATATTTTATATGTAGGGAAACCAATTAAGTTGGTCAATGTTGGACATGGGGTTATAAAGTCGATTCAATCAATGATCTGATAATGTGTTTAAACAATTTGATGCGATCAATGAGTCATAGGTTAAATATCAATTCTTTCTTTTTGTTCTTTCAATGATAATTTTCATTAATTTATCACATTTATTTTTATTTAATATGATGAACCTTTTTTTTCTTATATTTTCAGTCATCATTTTCCATCATAATAATAGTAACACTAACAATTAAGCATGTGCATTTGTACATAACAAATTTTTCTTGGTATTAATTACTTGAATTTTAAATACATTTTATTATAGTAAATGAAAGTTATCAAAATTAACAATATGATTAAAAATAAACTTTAAATGCTTGTAGCTTTAGTTGCATAATGTTGTGAAATTTGTGTAAAATTAAAATAAAAATAATTGGGATGTCTTTTATAATTTTTTTTTTCAACCGGTTAGGATCCCATGCAATTGGACTTGAAGGAATTGTCCTTTAAGTGCACACAATTATATAACACATGAGAAGTTAGATGAATATATAGAACCAAGGGAGAAATCTATATATATATATATATATATATATATATAGTATTTTCTTCCATTTAATATTTTATTTTTCTTTTATTAAAAACATAAATAGAGGAGAACTTTCTCTTCCTTCGTCTTCATGAATAGCTTTCTGGTCTAAGTTTGATGGAATTGATGATGGCGAGGATCTGGTCAGTGTAAGACCATGAATAGCTTCCTTTGATTTGAATAGAATAGATGTAAACAAAAATACACGATCCGGTCCATCATCTAGTCATTGTAATTGCAACTTAAACTGATAAAAAAAAAATCTATGACAAAAAGAGTAGATCCAGAAACTACTGAGACATTTTATTCTCTGATTTACTTTTCCTTGCTCCTCATACGAGTATTGATTAAAACACATCCACCGCCATGAATATATATAAACCAACCTGGTCTTGGTTGCGCTTGAGCGGACATCAGACATAATCGAGACAATCAATGGAAGCTTTATACACAAAATGAGAAAAGTGCCCGAGGAGGAGAGCAGCTTGCAAAGAACAACTTTTCAAATTGAAAATATTAAAAAAAAAAAAAGAAAAAACCTTGGATGAAAGAGTATTTAATCTCTGACCAAATTATCTCTTTTTCCCAACTCTATCATCTTCTCAACCTCTAGCCAAACCCCTCTCCACAGGTTGTCAGAATATTTTCTTTAGTTTTGGGTAATCTTCTTAATCCTTAATCCTAATAGACAATCCCAAATTGCACAGATTCCTTCTTATTAAGATCCCAAATTGTGAGATATTCAATTTCGTTATTTACCAAAAATAAAAAGTTCTGAGATATTCATTATACCTCTGATTTTCATAAATAAATAAATAAAACAAAATTGGTTTTATTTAATTAACCCTTACAAGTATCAAGTTTGGGTGACCTAAGCCAATTCCAATGTCCCTTAAAATGAGTGGACTCAAATGAAAATCCATCCGAGTCCAAATGGATTGGACTGGATACATAGTGGTTTCAATTACAACACATACGCTAACAAAATTTCAGTTGGATCTCCTGTAAATTCAACAAGAACTGAAACTTAATAATAGTCGTTCCCAATTATTTAAAAGCAACCGCACTTATTTATTCTCACATAGCATTCACAAAGAAATTAAATACAGGGCAATTATCTTAAAGTTATCTCTTTTCAAGTATTTAATATTAATTACGGATTACCCTATTTTCCTTTATTTTTATATCAATAAATTTAAACATAGAGGGTTAAATTTTGTCCTCAAAATATTCTAGAAATATTCTGCTGCTATTCATGCCTTTTAAAGTAGTATAAATATAGATATAGAACTATATATATATATATATAAAGACCTGCCATCGAGAATGACTAGTGAACTGTTTCCAAATTATTTAAAAAAATGGTCATTGCTTAAAAGCAGCCTGGTTGACCTAACCTGAAGGTTAAGCTCAGTTTGGAAAGAATACAAATACAAATATGTACAGTATAAATACTTCAAAATGATACAAAATACAAGGTTTTACCCTCTACATATTTGTCTTTGTACTCCTTCCAACTGGAGCCTTAGGCTCAGTTTAAAAGGAGTACAAATGCAAATATGTAGTAAAACCTTTTAATTTGTATTGTTTTGTATGCATTTGTACTGTATATGTTTGTATTTGTACTCCTTCCAAATTAAGCCTTAGGTTCAATTAGGTTTGGAGCTTAAGCTTAGTTTGGAAGCAGTACAAATGCAAATATGTACAGTGTAAATACATATAAAATAATACAAAATATAAGGTTTTGTACTCTATATATTTGCATTTGTACTCCTTCCAAACTGAGCCTTATGGTCTTGAGTTTGATGATAGTAAACGCTTCATATTGCAGCCGATGAGTCATTAAGTAGTTTGTGAGGTCTCTTTGTTTACCATCTTACGAAGCAAGAAAGCACTTTTATGCTATCCTACTATTGGTTTTGGGTAGATAGATAAAGCAGGAATTTATCAAAACAAGCAGTTCGTTTTAAGTTTTCCTGTTTTATTCTTGATGTACTATTATAGCAATATTTAATCTGACTCGTGCACATAGGATTGAATGCTTGGATTTGGTAAGATTATAGATTAAATGTTCTCTTTCTTTGGGTTGACGCCTAATCCAATGCAATTGGATTAGGGTTCGGAACTAAACCTAACTATAAACCTGGTTTTACTGGTGGTTCACCGTGTGTTTAGGGATGTCAGTAGGTTGGGTCAAGTGGTAAACCTCAAGCCCTGCATTGATCTGACCCTATCAATTTAGGTTTTGGTCAATCTTATTATACCGAGATGGGTTAGAAAATATGGTTCCATAGATGAAAATTATGTTGATTTCTTAGGATGGGTCCATGGGAAGAGGCCCACCAAGGTGCCAGAATGAAGGAAGGAGCCCACGGCTTGAGATTATCTTCTCACAGTTGTAAATTTATTTGAGACAACTACAATGGAATGGTGCCCAAATGCCCATCATTGCTAATGGGGCTCACCTCTTCTGAAAGAATATACCACCACAACCTTCTTAATTCATAAACTGGGGGCCCATAACTTTAGCATCCTCCAATAGGAGTACTAAGGGGAGGCATTCTCTTGGCGTTTATTGGGCAGTTAGCCTACTGAGCCCTGCCATTCTAACCCTATTAACCTGTAAAAGGTTAAGTTGACAGGTGAGGTCCCTGATCGGCTTTTATTCTCTAACACACCCCCTCATGCAAAGGCCTATTGGGCCACCCATAGGCTATTGTAACTTGTGTTGAAGTAAAAGATTTAAACATACCTTCAGTTTTTGGAAATTGACTTAAACATAGCATGAGACTTTGGGGTAGACTTAAAGATACCTTATCGTTGACCCCACTGGATTTAAACATACCCTCAACTCTTCAATAAAAATTAAATTCCTAGTTTACCTTCTTATACTCTTCTTCTATGTCATTCTT